ATTCTTGTTTACCCAGCTTCCCCTCATTTTTTGAAGTTTATTTTTTTTCCCCACCCACTAGATTTTTGAACTTGAGGGCAATTGGAATTGCAACTCTTACAAGGCCGTGTTCTATACGGTATGTATGAGGGATAAGTGTGTAGGTGGCTCCATTGGTTACTGTTTTTTTCAAATAGTTGCATGACTTTTGGAAGCATGCATTTCAAGTCAATGAGTGTGGCTCTGCAGAGGTGATATACTGTAGATGTAGAACTTCAATTGTCGTAACCTTTGTTAAAATAGTTTTCACAATAAATAATAGTTTCCAGTCAAATAAGAAAACTACTCAGAATAAAACATGCTGTGCTGTTAAAGCCAGAGTTCAGAGGCTTTGGAATTTTAAAAATTAACATTTAGTTTCCTGTTCCGTGTTATCAGTGTAGTTAATTGGATCTGAAAACTTGAGAGACTGGAACAAGACATTTCTTGTAGCAGAGGTGTACAGTGGTGACTCCTCTCCAAACAGTTGAGAAGTGAGTTCTCTTTAGGCTATCAGTCCTCAATACTGACCCATTATATACCACATTTGCAGTTTACTTAACAAAATTCTCTCCCTGAATATTGTTTTTAAAAGTTGATAATGTGCTTAGAATGTAAACAGGGCACCCCAGTGGGCCTGAACTCCCAGCTCATTTAAGAGAATATGATGGACCTCCAAAATCTCCCCCCCACCCAGCCTTCCAAACCCCTAATCATTTTAGTTGCGCTTTTCTGAACCTTTTCTATTGCCAGAATATCATTTTTTTAAATGAGGGGACCACATCTGTACTCCGTATTTAAGATGTGGACGTACCATGGATTTATATAAGGGCAATAAGATATTCTCCGTCTTATTCTCTATCCCTTTTTTAATGATTCCTAACATCCCGTTTGCTTTTTTGATTGCCGCTGCACTCTGCGTGGATGTCTTCAGAGAACTATCCATGATGACTCCAAGAAACTTTCTCCTGATTAGTTGTAGCTAAATTAGCCCCCATCATATTGTATGTATAGTTAGGGTTATTTTTTCCAATGTGCATTACTTTACATTTATCCACATTAAATTTCATGTGCCATTTTGTTGCCCAATCACTTAGTTTTGTGAGATCTTTTTGAAGTTCTTCACAGTCTGCTTTGGTCTTGACTATCTTGAGCAGTTTAGTATCATCTGCAAACTTTGCCACGTCATTGTTTACCCCTTTCTCCAGATCATTTATGAATAAGTTGAATAGAATTGGTCCTAGGACTGACCCTTGGGGAACACCACTAGTTACCCCTCTCCATTCTGAAAATTTAACATTTATTCCTACTCTTTATTCCCTGTCTTTTAACCAGTTCTCAGTCCATGAAAGGATCTTCCCTCTTATCCCATGACAACTTAATTTACGTAAGAGCCTTTGGTGAGGAACCTTGTCAAAGGCTTTCTGGAAAGCTAAGTACACTATATCCACTGGATTCCCCTAGTCCACATGTTTGTTGATACCCCCCCCCCCCCCCCCCCCCAAGAACGGTAATAGATTAGTAAGACATGATCTCCCTTTACAAAAACCATGTTGACTTTTGCGCAACAATTTATTCTATGTGTCTGAGAATTTTATTCTTTACTATTGTTTCAATTAATTTGCGCAGTACTGATGTTAGACTTACCAGTCTGTAATTGCCAGGATCACCTCTAGAGCCCTTCTTAAATATTGGCCTTACATGAGCTATCTTACAGTCATTGGATACAGTAGCTGATTTAAAGGAAAGGTTACTAACCATAGTTAATAGTTCTGCAATTTCACATTTGAGTTCTTTCAGAACTCTTGGGTGAATGCCATCTGGTCCCGGTGACTTGTTACTGTTAAGTTTCTCAAAAATTCCAAAATCTCCTCTCGTGACACTTCAATCTGTGACAATTCCTCAGGTTTGTCACCTACAAAAGACTGCTCAGGTTTGGGAATCTCCCTAACATCCTCAGCTGTGAAGACTGAAGCAAAGAATTCATTTAGTTTCTCTGCAATGACTTCATCGTCTTTAAGTGCTCCTTTTGTATCTCGATCGTCCAGGGGTCCCACTGGTTGTTTAGCAGGCTTCCTGCTTCTGATGTACTTAAAAAACATTTTGTTATTACCTTTTAAGTTTTTTGCTAGCTGTTCTTCAAACTCCTTTTTGGCTTTTCTTATTACATTTTTACATTTAATTTGGCAGTGTTTATGCTCCTTTCTGTTTACCTCGCTAGGATTTGACTTCCACTTTTTAAAAGATGCTTTTATCTCTCACTGCTTCTTTTACATGGTGGTTAAGTCACGGTGGCTCTTTTTTAGTTCCTTACTGTGTTTTTTAATTTGGGGTGTACATTTAAGTTGAGCCTCTATTATGATGTCTTTGAAAAGTGTCCATGCAGCTTGCAGGGATTTCACTCCAGTCACTGTACCTTTTAACTTCTGTTTAATGAACCTCCTCATAGTTCCCCTTTCTGAAATTAAATGCCACAGTGTTGGGCTGTTGAGGTGGTGTTCCAACCACAGGCATGTTAAATGTTATGGTCACTATTTCCAAGCGGTCCTGTTATGGTTTTCTCTTGGACTAGATCCTGTGCTCCACTCAGAACTAGATTGTGTTGCCTCTCCCCGTGTGGGTTTCTGTACCAGCTGCTCCAAGAAGCAGTCATTTAAAGTATTGAGAAATTTTGTCTCTGCATTTCTTCTTGAAGTGACATGTACCCAGTCAATATGGGGATAATTGAAATCCCCCACTATTATTGAGTTTTTTATTTTGATAGCCTCTCTAATCTCCGGTTTCAGAGTAGCAGTTGTGTTAGTCTGTATCCGCAAAAAGAAAAGGAGTACTTGTGGCACCTTAGAGACTAATAAATTTGTTAGTCTCTAAGGTGCCACAAGTACTCCTTTTCTCTAATCTCCCTTAGCATTTCATCGTCACTATCACTGTCCTGGTCAGGTGGTCGATAATAGATCCCTACTGTTACATTCTTATTAGGGCATGGAATTACTATCCATACAGAGTCCATGGAACATGTGGATTCATTTAAGATTTTTATTTCATTTGATTCTACATTTTTTTCGCATATAGTGCCACTCTTCCCCCCCCCTTCCACCTCCCTGCATGTCCTGACCTGTTCTGTCCTTCTGATATATTTTGTACCCCGGAATCATAGAATATCAGGGTTGGAAGGGACCTCAGGAGGTCATCTAGTCCAACCCCCTGCTCAAAGCAGGACCAATCCCCAATTTTTGCCCCAGATCCCAAATGGCCCCCTCAAGGATTGAACTCACAACCCCGGGTTTAGCAGGCCAGTGCTCAAACCACTGAGCTATAGATTGTGTCCCATTGATTAATTGTCCTCACTCCACCAGGTTTCTGTGATGCCTGTTATATCAATATCCTCCTTTAACACGAGGCGCTCTAGTTCACCCATCTTATTATTTAGACTTCTAGCATTTGTGTACAAACATTTTAAAAATTTGTCACTGTTTATTTGCCTGCCCTTTTCTGACGTGTCAGATTCTTTATGTGAATGTTTCTTGTCTGATCTGGCCCATACTTTATCCTCTTCCGTCCCCTCCTCCTGACTAAAACCTAGAGAATCTCTACGGATAGACTCTCCTTTAAGAGAAGTCTCTGTCCAATTCACGTGTGCTTCTGCAGCAATCAGCTTTCCCTCATCTCTTAACATTAAAAAGGTTGCAGAGCAGTTTTTAAACTAAGTGCCAGCAGTCTGGATCCACTTTGGTTTAGGTGGAGCCCATCCTTCCTGTGTAGGCTCCCACTATCCCAAAAGTTTCCCCAGTTCCTAACTCGCTCCTCTCTACACCATCATCTCATCCAAGCATTGAGACTCTAAAGCTCTCCCTGCCTACCTGGCTCTGCATGTGGAACTGGAAGCATTTCTGAGAATGCCACCATAGAGGTCCTGGATTTCAGTCTCTTTCCTAGCAGCCTAAATTTGACCTCCAGGACGTCTCTTCTACCCTTCCCTGTGTCATTGGTATCTACATGTACCACGACCACCTGCTCATCCCCAGCACTACACGTAAGTCTATTTAGATGCCTCAAGAGATCCGCAACCTTCGCACCAGGCGGACAAGTCACCATACGGTTCTCCCAGTCATCACAAATGCAGCTATCTATTTCTAATGATCAAATCTCCCATTACTAACACTGGCCTTTTCCTAATGACTGGTGTTCCCTCCCCCAGAGAGGTAACCTCAGTGCGAGAGGATACCCCAACATCATCTGGAAGGAGGGTCCCAACTATGGGAAGGTTTCCCTCTGTTCCCATTGACTGCTTTCCTTCTCTGGGCCTTTCATCCTCCTTAACAGCACAGGGGCTGTCTGACCAGAAGTGGGACAAATCTACAGTGTCCCGGAAAGCCTCATCAACATATCTCTCTGCCTCCCTCAGCTCCTCCAGTTCCGCCACTCTGGCCTCCAAAGCCCATACACTGTCTCTGAGAGCCAGGAGCTCCTTGCACCGAATGCACACAATGCCACCCGCCCACAGAGCAGGCAATCATACATGCTACACTGAGCGCAATAAACAGGATAGCCCCCACTCTGCTGCTGGGCTTCTGCCTGCATTTTCTCCTACAGCTACCTAGGTTAATGATAGGATTTTTGTTTAAATCAAGAAGTTTTGATTATAGTTTAGTTTAAAGGTTTTAAAGAACGGCAAGTGTACCTCGCCACCTTTCCACTCCCCTTCCAAACTCCCTCTTGAAACTCCCTGTTAACGGTCCCTGGTTGCAAAGCTCCCTGGCCACTTGCTCGCTGCTTTATAAAGCCCTGGCCTTCTTGATAGCCCCGCCCCCTGACTAAGGCTCAGCCAATGAACAGAGGCTTCTAGATTTCAAGCCTTGTTTAGAAGCTCACAGCTTCCAACTGCCGGCCACAGCACATGGTCCTTCAGACAGACAAACACAAGCTCAGCACACAGCAAGTAACCCCCCAAACACAAACACGCACTACAGACAGCCACTTACCCCGAGGGTCCTGTATTTGCTCCTCCTTCACCTGGAGAACTCCCTCTCAAAGCTTCCTGTTAGCGGTCCCTGTTTACAAAGCTGTGATGGCAAGGATAGAAGGTATAGTTTTTTCAGGATTGAGCAGGTGGTGGATTTATTCTCAAGTAATAGGCATTCTCCTACTGCAAGTATAATATTCTTCCATATGTTTACTGCGTAGTTAACCACTTGTGTTATTTGGCATGACTTGCTGTCCCTGTTAAATCTCAAGCATTAAAGGGAATGTAATGACTAAAAGAGTATTGATTTTATAGGGGTGTGTTAAATTGCAGGATAGGAATAGAAAGTAACAGTTTCTATCTCTAATGTTCATGGCATAATGTAGCAAAAGCAAAGGTGTGTGCAGAAGTAGTATTGGGCAATCGTATTGGGAAAGGTGGAATAGGAGGATGACAGCATGAAAAATCTGGAAGGCCAAGAAAAATGCAAAAGTTGAATGTACTTTGGAAATGTATGTATAATTTGTATAAATACATTCATATAGTGAAAAGGAAGGTAAATTTGCAGTGACGATTAAATAAAAATCAAAGCTAAAAACCTATACTGCTACTAAAATACAGGAATACACCAATTGTCCATCTAGCCTAATATCCTGTCTCTAACTGTTACCTATATGAAATGCTTTAGAGTAATGTGAAAACAGAATAAAAGGCATCTGGCAAGCTATGCAAAAACATATAATGGAATATGTATATCTCCCTAAACCAAGTTGGTGATTTAATTTATGCCTTGGAGTGTGAGAGACTTTTTAATTCTTGATTTCAGATGCTAATCTGAGTTTAAATGTTTTCCTGCTTGGAAGGAAATATCAGTCTAGGGAAGGCATTCCTGCTGACGCCACTCACCCTCAGTGCCCTAACTTATTTCCCTGAATGGCCATAATGTAGAGTCACAATCGAGTCCCAAAAGACTGCTAGCCAACTTGCCTTGGGTAGACTGAAACACACATTTTCTGGCTCCGTATGCTCAGTCTATCAGATGCTGCTGCTGTTCAAATGAACACAGAATTCAAGACTAATATTAATTATGTACAGTAGAACCTCAGTTACAAACACCTTGGGAATGGAAATTTGTAACTCTGAACAAAACGTTATGGTTGTTCTTCAAAAGTTTACAACAGAACATTGATTTAATACAGCTTTGAAACTTTACTGTACAGAATTAAAATGCTGCTTTCCCTTCATTTTTTTTTTAGTAGTTTACATTTAACAGTACTGTACTTGTTGTTTTGGGGGGGTTTCTCTCTCTGTTGCTGCCTGATAGCATACTTCTGGTTCCAAATGAGGTATGTGGCTGACTGGTCAGTTTGTAACTCTGGTATTCGTAAGTCTGTGGTTCTGCTGTAATTCTATTTTCTGTTCCCTTAATAGAGCCTGGCTGTCTTGTTGTTTTGCTCCATGGCAGTTGCAACTTAATTGGATCTTTGCACTGATAATAGTGACTGTTTTCTCCTCCCCCTGAAATATTTCTGTTCAGTGTATGTTACTTTTTGCTTGTCTGTGCTGACTTTCTATAGGTCCTTTCAGAGTTAGCAAAAACTCTTCCAGTACACTAAATATTTAGAATCCAAATGATATTCCCCAGCCAGATTGTAATTATAACATCTCAACTTTTCATTTACAAGACAATGTCCATTATATGTTAAGTTTCAAAAATCAACATTATCTTGCAATTTTCTCTACACACACACCCACCCACCCTCAGAAATGTTGAGAACTAAAATAAAACACAAATGTGTGAGACTTCTCCTTTCCCTGTGTACAAGAAAAGAGGCGTTCTATCCGGGGCTGCTTTTTAATACCTTTTTAAAAATTAGAATTTGTTCTTGTCAGGGGGTGCTCCCCTGTCGCTACACTGGTGACTCCCCTTGGTCACTCTGTTGATTACCTCTTGAGGTAGACATCCTCTGGTCTGCAGCTCCTCTTTTGCTCCAGGATCCTCAGTGTCTCCTTTGTGACCTAGCCCTCCAGCTAGGTCACTCAGCATTCCCCCTTCCTGGGGACAGTCCATTAGCAGTTCTAGGCAGTTTTCCCATTCACTGCCTCAGGTCTATGCTATGTGGTGTCCACTAGGGGAACCTGGGCCTGCCCTCTTCTCAGTGTTCCAATCCAGGGACCCTCAGCTCAGTGGTTCTGGGCTTCCTCTTTCTGCCCTCGCTGCTCCTTCTCTGGACTGATTCCTACACTCTGGTTTCCCCCATCTCTTTCTCCCCGCCCCCCTTCTTAGGGAGTGACTGCTGCCTGATTTCCAAACAGCCCAGTATGTAGCCTGCTACCTGTCTTTATAGGCCCTGCCTGTTCCTGCACAGGTTAGCCTCTCTCTAATTAACTGCCTCTGGTCTAAAGCTTCCTCTCTTTGCAGTCAATTATCTGATTGGGTCTACCTGGCCCTATTCTGTTCTTGCAGGGCTAGTGTGGGGATCTCCCCCATCCCAGTTTTAAATATAACACTAACAACAGAAATTTTCCAATGGCTATGCTTTCCAATTGCTCTTAAAAATATTGTTCATCTTCATATTGTGAACTTGGGGGACTTGTTGCATATTTTAGTTGTTCTTTGTGTATAAGCATATTTACCTTTCCTGGATTAAGTAAAGTCCAGTCCTACTTCTTCTTCAGTCTGTCTCCAATAGTTTCTTGGCATTTATTTATCTGTATTGCAGTGGCACCTAGTAGCCCCAACTCACAGTTAGGACCTATCGTGTTAAGGCATGGTGCAAACTCATAGTAGGATACTGCCTGCCCCAAAGAGTTAAAAATCATAACAGGCGATCAAATCAAAGGGTGCCGGAAACGTAGGCATTATTTCTTCCATTTACAGCTGGGGTACCAAGGCACAGAGAATCCAGTGTAATGTTTCATTTATTTATGGAGTGCTGTTTATGTTGATACCATGGTGAGGAGGGCCATATACATATCTGAATGTATAAATAAAGGTACACTGTACATTGCAAACATACAAAACATGCTCCCTGCTCTGAGGCGCTTACTGTCTAATGTAGATACAGTAGAACCCCATTTATCGGACCCTCCATTATCCGGTTCTACATGGAAAACCAGTGCACACAAGTCCAGAAAGTCTGGGGAGGGGGGTGGGTCTCTCCTGAGGCGCTGCAGCATTGCGCTTTCCCATTCTCTGGTTATCCGGATTTTAGATTATCCAGTCTGGCCCCAGTCCCAATTAGATCTCATAAATAGGGTCCTGCTGTATTATGAAACCTGGGGAAACAATTCAGAAAATGGTGAGGGTAATGTTTAAATGGAACTCCACTTGACATGATTTTCTGAAAGAAGTTTTTCAAGTAGAGGGAAGCTTTCTGCTTCCTTGTAAAGATAGTTTCTCAACACTAGAAAATTCACTTGGTCCATAAACAGTGCTATGTTTTGGCATAAATGACCTTGAAAGTTTCTGGTTTTAAAGAGAGCAATACTTTGACTTGGGAAGCATAGTTCATTCTTTCTAAGAGTAAAACTTATCAGCCAACTGCTGTTTTACAGATGTTCATCGCTTAGGATATGTCTACACTGCAGCTGGGAGTGTACTTCCCAGCTTGAGCGGACCTAGCATGCTAAAAGTAGCAGTGTAGCCAGGGGGTAGCTTGGTGCCTGAGCACGTACCTAGGGTGTCCGAACAGGGGTGTGTACTTGCGGGGGCCTGACCCAAGCTGCCACTTGGGCTGCCCCTGGCTAGGCTAATATTTTCGGTGTGCTGGTCTGAGCAGAGTTAGTATGTCTGTCTGCCCTCACTGGGAAGCGTGCTCCCAGATGCAGTGTAGACATACGCTTAGAGGCATACTTTTGAATAGGGTTTACATGCATAGTGAAGGAAGATTTCTGATGACATAGGGCTTTTGTATACCCAACTTCTGACTTGCCTCCTGAATATTCAACAGCTAAACCCTTCAAAGAATCAACTTTTAACCTTTTTGTTTTATTTTTAGTTTTAACACCGGTAAAGGGACCTTCTCAGGCAGACATGGAAGGACTTTGCCCTGTTCGTTCAGGAGAGACTTCTTCACAAGGGTCCTCATCTGGTCCAAGAGAGATTGATGAGACTATGGTGACTGAGTTAACTATTTCAGATGAAAAAGTGACCCAGATAGAAAGCATACTTGATCTCTGGAGTGGAAGTCTTAAGGTATTAAATTTGTGCTAAATGTAATATCCTTATATTGAGCAGATGATTATTGTGGCATTTGTAGAAGCACAGGGGAAAATATAATCTAACTACGTTGGGAAATCGATGTAACTTCTATTGCTTGATAGCTAAGCAGTTGAAAACCTACTGGACTGGCACAGAGATGGACTAATAATCTGCTTGCCTTTGACTAGCGAACACTAAATGCTCCAAGAATCAGTTCTGTTCATGCAGTGGAAGCTATAAGTGTGTCTGTATCTGTGGTCCCAGAAAGATCCTTACATTTCAAGCTCTGTGGATGTGCACAGGCTGGATCAGAACTGCCAATCAAAAACATAGATCAAATGACAGGTTTCAGAGTAACAGCCGTGTTAGTCTGTATTCGCAAAAAGAAAAGGAGTACTTGTGGCACCTTAGAGACTAACCAATTTATTTGAGCATGAGCTTTCGTGAGCTATAGCTCACTTCATCGGATGCATACTGTGGAAACTGCAGAAGACATTATACACACAGAGACCATGAAACAATACCTCCTCCCACCCCACTCTCCTGCTGGTAATAGCTTATCTAAAGTGATCATCAAGTTGGGCCATTTCCAAGCTCTGCGATACAACCGCATTTGCTCCAACCCCTCAGACAGAGACAAACACCTACAAGATCTCTATCAAGCATTCTTACAACTACAATACCCACCTGTGGAAGTGAAGAAACAGATTGATAGAGCCAGAAGAGTTCCCAAAAGTCACCTACTACAGGACAGGCCTAACAAAGAAAATAACAGAACGCCACTAGCCGTCACCTTCAGCCCCCAACTAAAACCCCTCCAACGCATTATTAAGCATCTACAACCTATCCTGAAGGATGACCCAACACTCTCACAAATCTTGGGAGACAGGCCAGTCCTTGCCTACAGACAGCCCCTCAACCTGAAGCAAATACTTACCAACAACCACATACCACACAACAGAACCACTAACCCAGGAACCTATCCTTGCAACAAAGCCCGTTGCCAACTGTGCCCACATATCTATTCAGGGGACACCATCAAAGGGCCTAATAACATCAGCCACACTATCAGAGGCTCGTTCACCTGCACATCCACCAATGTGATCTATGCCATCATGTGCCAGCAATGCCCCTCTGCCATGTACATTGGTCAAACTGGATAGTCTCTACGTAAAAGAATAAATGGACACAAATCAGATGTCAAGAATTATAACATTCATAAACCACTCGGAGAACACTTCAATCTCTCTGGTCACGCAATCACAGACATGAAGGTCGCTATCTTACAACAAAAAAACTTCAAATCCAGACTCCAGCGAGAAACTGCTGAATTGGAATTCATTTGCAAACTGGATACTATTAATTTAGGCTTAAATAGAGACTGGGAGTGGCTAAGTCATTATGCAAGGTAGCTTATTTCCCCTTGTTTTTTTCTACCCCCCCCCCCCCCCCCGATGTTCTGGTTAAACTTGGATTTATGCTGGAAATGGCCCACCTTGATTATCATGCACATTGTAAGGAGAGTGGTCACTTTGGATGGGCTATTACCAGCAGGAGAGTGAGTTTGTGTGGGGGGGGGCGGAGGGTGAGAGAACCTGGATTTGTCCTGGAAATGGCCCAACTTGATGATCACTTTAGATAAGCTATTACCAGCAGGAGAGTGGGGTGGGAGGAGGTATTGTTTCATGGTCTCTGTGTATATAATGTCTTCTGCAGTTTCCACAGTATGCATCCGATGAAGTGAGCTATAGCTCACGAAAGCTCATGCTCAAATAAATTGGTTAGTCTCTAAGGTGCCACAAGTACTCCTTTTCTTTTTATAGATCAAATGGGAATGGGTGGAGCAATAGTTGTATTCTTCCATCTCCCACCTGCAACCAAGCTCCACCCACTTGAGACACCAGAATGAGACTCCAGTCACAGTAGAATGGGTCATATTTTAAACGTCTGCACATTCATGTTCTGTTGGATTTCTCAGGATTGGCTCCTTTTCAGTGGAATTTGTAACATCAATGGGCTCTGCTGGACTTCTTTGAGTTTGGCTCCGAGTGAAGCTGGATGCCCTGTAGGGGTGGCTTCCTCTTAGTGGTGCTCAGTTACCCAAGCTCCTCTCAACTCCCTTGTTGGCTCCACTGGCTAGATTAAAATGGTACTTTTCCAAGTGTCACTGGTTGTGGCACCAAAATGAAATATTCTTAGTAGATTGATCATGATTTGATTCTTCTCCTCCTATCTTACATGCTTTTATTAGCAGTCTAATAATTAAATGTTTGTATTTAAGTTATCATAATTAGATGTGTCTGGTAATTGGACAAAGTTGTACATGCAAGGTTCAGTGTAAATTTTGATGTCTGATTAGCTGCCATGTGTTCTAGGATTAAAAGACTTGGAGAGGATAATCTTCCTAGTTTAATTAGTGCTACCCTTTTCAGACAAATGTTCTGACTGAACTCAGAAAATGGAAAATGACTTTTATTGAACATCACAAGCTGGAAATGAGACAAGAGAAAGAGAAACATGCTGCACATGTGAGACAACTGAACAATCAGATGGAGAACCTGAGAGAGCTGCTACATACTTATGAAATCTCCATTGGCAGAAAGGATGAGGTAACAGTGTTCTTATTCTGTTCTGTCTTCTATTTTTAGAACTCTCTGAGATTTGAATCTTTTTTTAATTGTACTTTCACATCAGGAACTCGTTTTGCAACAGGTAATTTATACACTCTAAACTTACTTGCTTAGTCAGAAAAGAAGCATCAGGGTATTTCAAGCCAGTCAGGATGAACTTTAGCAAGGGTAGACTCAAACAACATTATCAGTAAACCACATAATTACTGTGCATTCTCTAATACTAATAGG